CAATCCCAGAGAGGCTCAACACTCCTGGGGAGGGAAGAGGAACCCTTTCCCAACATGCATTCCCTGCAGCCTTCTTCTGGTTGGCCCAGCCTAAGCATGGCTTGTAGTTTCTCAGAGTCATGGTTTCTAAGCAGACAGTACAGACAAAGATTAAAGGCAGCTTTAAAAGGAAAAGAGCTGAGTTTAAAGGGAGAATTAACTGGGTGCTGCAGGAGAGGGTGGGGTCAGAATTGCATCACGAGGCAATTTCAGCCCAGTCTGAAGGGAAGGGTGAGAACCCAGCGCTGCTCACTAGAAGCAATGACAGATGGCAGCCTCTTCCTCCAGACCTTGGATTGGGATGGGGAAGGGTGGGGCAGAAAGAAGGGAAGGGTGCAGTTTCCAGAGGCTGCTGAGTAGGCAGAATATTGAGCAAGGTGAGTCATGAGGTGCAGGCAGCAGGAATTTCCTGCACTGCTTAAGACATGAATGGGGAGACAGGGGTTGGAGAAGGGAGCTCAGGGAGCAAATGCTTGGCTTTACAGAATCTCTCCTGGTATCCTAGCAAGTGTCAGACTGGGTGTCACCTTTCCTGTACCTCAGGCCTATTTAATTTTTCTTCTCTCTTTATAGGCCTTTCTGCTGTATTGAAGTGGTTTGCTTGTATGCTGTATAACATAGTACTATAATGCTGATCAAAGTTAGGGAAAAACCTTAAGAAACCTGCCTTACATACATCTTCTGGTGATCTCACCTAAGTGTCCTTCAAGAAAACCCCACAAAACAGCAAAATTGCTGTGAATCAAGAAAAGTAGAAACTACTTCTCTGGAGTGTGCTTGTTACTGATCCTGCTGACAGTGTGAATGCCCTGCACCCTGGTGTTCCTGAGGTAAGAGGATAAAATCTTCATTTCTTCTCCCTGCTCTGCTGCGTCTACAAGTTTTTCTTGAACTAATGGTCCTGCTTGGAATCTTTTGCCTGTGAACAGGCTTCTCTTGGTTTATCTACCGGCTTTTTAAAATGTATTTTATTATTTTGCACTTTGTTTATTCGTCAACACAAATGTCTGAGCTTTAAAGCATCGTTGTAAGGTGGTCATACCAAGCTAGACTGAGCACATCAGAAATCCTTTGTGTGAACGACAGAGTAACATCCACCCAAGTGAATTATGTGTTTTTTCTCCAAAGGATTTCCTAACAGGAGTCTCCTCCTTTGAGCTTTTATCACTGCATTCAAATGTAAATGATTTAGATGCTTTTGCAAGTTGTGGAATCACCTGTTCTCTGACAGATCTCTTTCAAGAGGTTTGAAAAGTCATGAAACCTTGGAGAAAAAGGAAATCTAGCTTCGGTAAGCTGCGTGGGTTTGTACAGAGAAAGCTCAGTGAGCATTATAATAATCACTGCTGCTTGCACTTGATTAGGGCTTTATTACAGCACTCAAGGGCCGAGCCGGGACGCAGAATTTTGTGTGTTTGAAAACCTGAGAGCGGGACACCGAGAGATTACCACGGAGTTTTTCTTTGATGCCTGCCTGCTGCAGCAGTGACCCCGTTGGTACCGAGCTCTTGCTTAAATGCCAAGTGATTTCCATCAGGCAATAGAAAAGTCCCGAGGTTTCCTTCCCTGAGCCTCCCTGAATACACACATTACCTAACGAGCTGGCGTCTCTACCGCCCTGCTTAGGAGAGCGGAAAGTGGGAGGTCGAATCACTCTGCTCGCTTTCAGTGCCAAACACAGGGAGCCTTTGCGTGCACACAGCACCTCAGGAAACCCAGAGAGACCTGGGGGAGGAACAAAAAAAAAAAAAAAAAAAAAAAAAATTTTTGGCAACAAAGGGGAGCCGACCAGGACTTTTAAAAAAAAAAAAAGATATTTGAGCACACAGCGGAGCCGATCAGGACTATTGACTATTGACATCAGGGTACACGGAGTTCTTTGTGATGACTTTTCTACCCTTTATCTCATAATCATCGTTCGTGAAAGGTGTTTTTTTTTTTTACCGAAGCCCTTCATATATTTTTGGTTTCTCATGACTCGATATCTCCCTTGTTGCAGCACAGAACTGCAGAAGGGCATCAGTGGGTACTAGAGACACAGGAATTATTTCAGCTACTGCCGTTTCTGGGCTGAATCAAAGGCTGGGTTGTTTTTGAAACGTCACACTTGGTGTTTGATTAGACTGCAACACCCACCCGGAGCCCCCCGCCCTCCTCCACGGGGAGCGAAGCACAGCACACGCTGTTAGCAGGAGGAAAGGCAGAGCAGGGTACAGAAACTCCGGGTTTGGTGACTGTTTTGGTGGAGTTAGGAGACCTGCAATGCACATCTTGCACAGATGAGAAGCAGCATTGCAGCTGTTCTTGTCTTTTTTCCCCCCCTCTGGATTTTTTAAAAGCATTCTTAGCATTTCTGCTTTCTAGCTCAGGCTGGGTTCTTAGAAATCTGAGGAATTATCATCACTTTTTCACTGTTGTTGGTTTCCAAAATTTGCTTATGCTCCTCTGCAGGCTAAATATGTTACTGGTTTGTTTTCAAAGATTAATCCGGTGTTGAGTCCCCAACCCCCTGCTGCTGTTTCAGCGCTGTGGCTCTCTATTTTGGCTGCTACACCACAGCTTGTTCTTGTTGCTGCTCACAGCTACATCTGTTGATGGGCTGGGAGCCATCTCCAGCTATGCAAATGCAGGTCTTCGGAGCACCTTCTCCAGATTTTAATCCTACGCAGTTAACTTCTCCTGGAATCCAGGATCTCTGTGGAGGTGCCAGATAAACCTGCTGTAACTTGAGTTGGTGATGTTCTTCCTCATGTGCAGAAGGCACAAGGTTTTTCTGGACTGAGCTGTGGTTCTGTGTTTGTTTTTAAACTTAACTACCACGGCTTCATGATTTTTGTTTTAAATGTGGCAAGCTCTGTAAGCATTGGCTAAAGACTGACAGATGTAGGATATTTAAAATTCACATGGAACAGCATTTCATTACCTTTGGTTTATTTACCTTTGATTGAATAGCTTTCATTACCCTTCTCATCTCTCCAATACTTTGTCAATCTACCTGATTATATCTCTGTGTTCAGATTCTACCTTTCTGTTCTACTGCCAATCCCCATCCTATGTACTTTACAGTGCACTTTATCCCATTTCACATGCTCATAAAATGACCTTAATTTTCCAGCTCTGCTCTGAAGGCTTCTATGTGATTGACAGTCAACCTGCTGAGATTTCACCTCTCCCCTTTTACACATCCATAGGTTTAGATTGTGTATTAGGAAAAAAATTCTTTCCTGTGAAGGTGGTGAGGCCCTGGCACAGGGTGCCCAGAGAAGCCCCATCCCTGGAAGTGTCCAAGGCCAGGCTGGTGGGACTCTGAGAAACCTCCTCTGGTGGAAGGTGTCCCTGCTGGGCAGGGGTTTGGAATGAGATTATCTTTAAAGTTCCTTCCAATCCAAGCCATTCTCTGATATTTCGTAGTCCCCTTTGGTCACACAGCTTCTCCCTGGAGCCGGGAAGCCTCTTCCCTTCCAGAAGAGATCTCAGGCCAGTTTGTTCTGGTCCATTCTCTCTCCTCCCTGCACAGCGCGGTGTTTTTCACTCCTTTTCCAGCGGCGCTGGATCCCTTTCTCCGTCTCCTTCCTGCCTCGGCCGAGCCGAGCAGTGCCACTCCTGCCCGGCTGGCTCCCCAGCGCCCTGTAGCTCTTCCCGAGGAGCCTCGCTTCTCCCGTTCCCTGCCCTCCGTGTCCTGCTTCCCCGCCGCCGTACCCGCGAGGGGACCCGCGGTGCCCGTGAGGGGATCCTGCGTGCCCGTGAGGGGATCCTGCGTGCCCGTGAAGGGATCCTGTGTGCCCGTGAGGGGACCCGCGGTGCCCGTGAGGGGATCCTGCGTGCCCGTGAAGGGATCCGCGGTGCCCGTGAGGGGACCCGCGGTGCCCGTGAGGGGATCCTGCGTGCCCGTGAGGGGACCCGCGGTGCCCGTGAGGGGATCCTGCGTGCCCGTGAGGGGATCCTGCGTGCCCGTGAGGGGATCCTGCGTGCCCGTGAAGGGATCCTGTGTGCCCGTGAAGGGATCCGCGGTGCCCGTGAGGGGATCCTGTGTGCCCGTGAGGGGATCCTGTGTGCCCGTGAGGGGATTCTGTGTGCCCGTGAGGGGACCCGCGGTGCCTGTGAGGGGATCCTGCGTGCCCGGGAAGGGACCCGCGGTGCCCGTGAGGGGACCCGCGGTGTCTGTGAGGGGATCCGCGGTGCCCGTGAAGGGATCCGCGGTGCCGGTGAAGGGATCCTGCGTGCCCGTGAGGGGACCCGCGGTGCCCGTGAGGGGACCCGCCGTGCCCGGTGCCAGCGGAGCCCTGCCTGCCCCGCCCGGGGCCATCCTGCTCCGGCTCTGCTCCTTCTCCAGCGCCAGCCGGGAATGTCCCCGCCCCGCTGTGGGACAATGGTGCAGCAGGGATTTGTCCTGGGGCGAGGCGGGGGGACCGGGAGCGACTCGTTCCCGGCTCCCGGCGCGTCCCACGGCACACCCCGCTGTCCATGGAGCCGCGGACTGGGATCACGCCATTCCAGCGGGGATGCCTGGGGGATTCGAACCGGGATTCCCGGGGGATTCCAGCCGGGATCCCTGGGGGATTCACGCTGCGATCCCCGGCAGACTCCAGCCGGGATCCCGTGGCTCCCCCGCCACCGCCCCTTCGCGCCGGGGGCGGCGGCCGCCGCCGCTCCGCCCTCCCCGCGTTGTTTGTCCCCCGGCGCGCTCCGTAGCGCGTGCGGCGGCGGCGGCACGAGCCGGGCCCCGCCCCGCCCCGCCCCTCCCCGGCGGTGCGG